CTCTCTGGCTTTCTCCATAATCCAGCGCATGTTAGCAATTTGATCTCTAGTTCCTCTGCCCCTTTGAAATCCAGCTTGTACTTTTGGCAGTTCTCGGTCCACATGCTGCTGAAGCCTACCTTGGAGGATTTTGAGCATAACCTTGCTATGATGGATAGCACCATATATATGAACTGATATAGGCAATGGACAGCATTGGTATTCACCCTCACTTGGACCCCAGCCCTGGCAATTCTGTAGCAGAGGGTTCAATGGTGAAGAAGCTATTAGAGAAAGGGAAAGTTGTTGAAGACACGCAGAGAAAGAGGGAAATTACAAGTTGAAAAGTGTACTCTAAAGGTAAAGGGAACAGCTTGTAGAGTTCAGGGAAAAGTTAGAAGAAATACATTTGTAGAGAAACCGAATGTTTGACAGTCAACCAGCCTAGCATTATTCATGTTTTGTTCACCTTGAAAATAAAGTTTAAGTGTTTGGGTTTTAATGGCTACCTGAGCCATTATTTGGTGCAGGGAAGCTACTAGATTCTAGTCATAGTCCAATGAACTGTACAGAACACACAACCCTATTCTTTGGTTGAACTTTCTTATTTTCTTTGAGAGCCCTGGGATAAGACCTGAAGGACAGAAATAAATAAAGTTCCAGGCAAATAAGAAGTGTCTGAAAAGGGGACATGTGGTTACAAATGAATTGAGACCTTCTCAGGCCTTAGAAAAGTAACTTTTTTGGACTGCAACCTCCAGCATCCTCCAGCCAGCACAGCCACTCATTCTTGGAGTTGTACTTCAAAAAAGTAACTTTTCCAAGCTCCAAACTTTTCAATAGTGTTTAAAAGTTTGCCTCAATTAGCCCTAGGCTGCAAGCTATTGAGACTCCATTTTGGGCAGGAAAACATATTGGTCTAGCCTTCCTGGAATAATTAAGAGTGCACATGTGGATAACTCAAAATGCAACCAAGATGATGGTGTCAGGCAGTTTAGTTCCTGTTTGAAAGACAGGACAGGTCTTGAACCTTAACACCGAAAGGCCCTCCATACATGGTACCGCGGTGCTAAGAACCTTGCAGAAAGGACCAAATGTCAGGGATAATCCAAAGACTAAGCCAATTGTAGTGGAAAACAAGGATCATAGCAAGACCAGTTTGAGAAGATTAGCCAAGAGGGCTCAACGGAGTATGGAGCATTTAGAGACTGCATTTCAAATCCATCCTTAATGAGGATAGGGAGATCAAACCAGTGTGGGCATGGGAGGGAGTCAAGGCCATTAACCTTGGAAGATTATAAAGCTCTCAAGGGCATAATTCTTGTCACAAGGTCAAGCTTTTACAAAGCAATTAAGAGGGATCTCCATTATATCAACATACACACAGAGTCAAAGACCCTGGCTTCAGGTTTCTAAGGAGATTTCTGCCCTGCAGAAAGCAAAGGTTTAACAAGATAACAAACAGAGCTAATTGTGTGTATTTTGTAGAGCCCCACCTCTAGGGACCAAATAGACCTGGTGCCTGCTGAATTTTATTTTATTTTTTAAGGCAGGGGGCAGCTTAACAATTTACCTGCCTGCAACTTTTCCACTCTGCTGTCTTGCAATAGAAATTCCAAGGATATCCAAGTGTCTGATATATAAATACTGGGGCACAGAGGATGTGGGGATGAGAGCAGCATATGGGAGAGGGTTAGGCATCATCTCTCACCACCCCTGTTTTTCCTTTCTAGGTCATTCTTTTCCGATGCCATCTTTGTTAGAGGGTATATCTATTTCTAATGTCAAATATTTGTCAAACATCAGTTTCTCTTGTACATCCCTCTTGCCCACATCATACAAACTGATTCTTAGGAGATCTTTCTCCTGGGAGCACACTGGAGAGTATTCTAATTATTGGTAGTAATCTGAATGCATATGATGGCATGCCAAAGGAGTGGTTCACAACGAGCGGGTAAACACAGGACTGATAGGATACAGAAGGAGTCCAGAGCAGGATGCCGGGTTTTCACAGCTATAATGATTACTTCATTGATTACTTCACTGTTTATGTCCTCTGTACCTGCAGAATTCAATTTCTTACTGACCTATCAGTAGAAGAAACCTCACTGTTATCAATCTAGTAGTAACTTTGATCACTTTGTTTCTTCTAACTTTCTATCCACTCTTCTTACCAAATTGCTATAAAAGCTAAATATAGTAACAGTGATAGTTGCTTGTAAATACACAAACATCCTTCTCTCATGCACACAAAAGCAGAGACATAAGCCACCAAAGAGTGAGAAACTCTGCTTAGAACATATGCAAAGACTGCAAGAGAAGGGGGGGGAACAATAGTCTCAGTCTGCAGCAATGCCTCAACATCTATTGCAGTTTTGCACAACTTTTTAATATCACACAGACAGCATAGTCAATCGTGTCAACAACATCAGAAGGCAACTTAATCTCTCACAGATCAAGGAGGGGAAAATGCAATTTCTTTTCCTTGGCTGTGAGGACAAGACAAGCAAGGATTCACATTGTTAGGCAAGGTATTTTTAAATGATTAGAATCACCTGTGCTATGGATGCTTGTGGATTGCCCACCAAATTTTTGAATGTGCGCTTGGAGACCCATTTAAGCTGGTGCCAGAAAGATGTGGTGTAGGTGATTTCTCGGAAGACAGTCTCCTTCTGGTTTCCTGAAGACAACTTTTCCAAGTCTGCTTTGGTTTCTTGGTAGTAAACAGAGTTGATATATTCCTCGGCTAATTTCTCTGCCAATGTCTTATCACGGCTGATGTGCTCATCAATATTCTCTGCATAGTAAAGAGCAAGGGGAAACTTTGTTATATTTATTAAGATCTCTGGGTTTGAGAGGAATTATATTCAAGTGATTTGCTTCTTCCTTAGGGGTTGATTTTGTCCTTTCATTGAGTGAAATAAGCCATTACAGAATTACTTGCTCTACTGAATGTTCTCCTGCCAACCTAGCAGTTCGATAGCATGTTAAAATGCAAGTAGATATGGTAAATAGGGAAGGAAATGATGTTCTGTGTCTAGTCATGCTGGCCACGTGACCACAGAAACTGTCTTTGGGCAAACACTGGCTGTATGGCTTGGAAATGGGGATGAGCACCACGTCCTAGAGTCAGACATGACTGAACTAAATGTCAAGGGGAACCTTTATCTTACTGAATATTAGAAAATATTGGTAGAAACCTGTACCTAACTGTGAAAATAGTTAACACCAATTCAAAACTACTAGTTGGATAAAGCTATAAGCAAGACTCTCTGTATATGTGAATCCTGGAGCACTGAATATATTGAGCAGCTTTTAACTAGGAATATAGGACAGGATGTGGGCTTTCAATGGCTTAAAAATAAATAGGAAATAAGAAGAAGAAACAATACATAAATAGCACATCAATGACAAAATGCCAAGAGGCAAATAGACAACCTGACAATATATGTCCATTAGCACGTTAGTGGAACAAAATGGAGTCATTTATCTGTCCTTATATGTTAAGAGCTTACTGGTATAGGAAAGTCCCCAGTTTGTCACAAAATGTTAACAGGAAATCTTGGAGGTCATTACGCTCCTATAGGTTCAGATAAGGCCAGGGTAATTTTAAAGCAGCCACAGTCTACTGCTAGCTCATGTTCATCTTACAAGCTATGAAGACATCTAGGTCCTTGTTGAATGTAGGACATGGTAAAAGAAGAAGCCCTGTCACATGATCATATAGGCCGAAATTCAGATTATTAACAGCCTGCATAGCAGCTCCTCCCTGTCATTGTTTTTATGTGCTGCCAATTCAGAACTGACTTATGGCAACCCATATAGGGCTTTCAAGATAAGTGAGCCTACAGGTCTTGATAAACATTCCCAAAAATGCAGATCCATATAGTAGAAGGCAGTCTTCGAGGTTTTCTGATCCCACATCATTTAGAAATTAAAAAGTAATAATCACTTGGTCTTCAGCTCCAGCAATGAATTACTCATTCTGGTGAAGGGGTGGAAAACATGCAGTTCGAGGACCACATGTGAGCTCCAGGTATTTTTGCAGCTGACAAGGCTGTCCCCTGCTTGTTGAGTTTTTGTTGCTATTGTTGCTTTAAAAACAAACAGACAAGGAGAATTACAGTTCCTGAAGCTTCCAGGAAATACAAGTTCAAGGCAAGTTCTACCGTTTGTTAAATTAAGAAAACCTTTTAAAAAATGCCCTGGATTTCCAGTGACTTCTGCTGAATTTCAGTGGTCCAGAGCAGATGCTTCAATTGTTCAGTAAGGAGAAGATGGGCCTGGATCTTCTAAAGTTATCCATTTGTGATCCAGTGTATGAATGCCAATACACTGGAGGTTCATTGGTATATAGCTGAACACTCAACCTGCTCTTTCAAAGGGTATGATTTCTGCTTTGACATATGCCCTGTACAGATACATTTTCTACTATGATGGCATCACCAAAAGTGATTTCTCTGTGATACAGCCAACTAACGCAAAAACACATCATTTCATCACGTCACAAGGCAATGACTCGGAAACAGCGAGGGCCATTCAGTTTCACCTCTCTTCACAATCCAATTCAATGGCATGCCATTAAAAGTTTCATGTTCTTTACAATAATCCTCCTAGAAATATAATCCTCCTTTAAAACCATATGTATAGACTCCCAGTTGTTTCTAAATGTGTGTGTGTGCGTGTTTTCTTAAGATAGAAGAGAAGGGAGCTTTGTTTATTTCTACTCTTAAATTTTGGAGGTGTATGGGATGGAAATGAGGCCCCAATGAGTTGAAATGGGATTTGTTCCCAGACTTGATGAAGTTCTCTGCAAGTCCTCTAAAAAGAAACGGTGTTTTGCCTACCTATGTCTATTTCTTCACTCTTATTTGAAGTCACAGCAGTTGAATCTCCATTAATGACATCCAGAAAGAAATCAGCAGGATTGTTGTACGATTCACACTCATAACCTGCAAAGAAGTACATTGCTCCCAGTGATTTGACAACTGGTAGAAAACATATCACACAACACATAAGATAATGCCTTAAATTCCAGGATGCTGGAACAGGTGACCTTTTGCGATCTCTTCCAAATCTATGATTCTGTGGCCACCACATAATCCACCAACACTATACTAGGATAGCTGAGGCACCGGGAATCATTCTAGATCGCGGTGACTCATTTCCCTCCAAATTTTATCCAGACAGAAGCATATTTTGGCCACATTTTAGAGGATTATTGAAATACAAAAGGTCATGTGGTGCATTTCTCCCAAGATTGTACCACAAGGAAGATTCCAAAGGGTCAAATCAAGGATCCTTCTGTTTCAAACAGTGGCCAACCAGATACTTTTTGGAAGCCTAGAAGCAGGCCATGTAGAGGTAGCTAGAGAGTGACCTAAACCATGAATAACTAAAACAATTGACTCTGTTGCTTTTTGGCACCATGTATTATTCAGAGGCACAAAGGGGAAGGCCTGCAATTTTGAATGTTCCTTGTACCAAAAACTCCAGCTGTCAATCAAACGTCATTATATAGCTGTTCTATCTTTTTTCTTAACTAATTATTTTGCTGGAAGGGAAAAAAACAGAGGAAGTGATGGGGAAAACAGGAATGATTCCATATTTATTATTAGTTATTAGTTACATTCCTATCCAATCTGTCCTCCAGTGGGTGCATGGGTCTGCTGCTCTCTACTTTGTCCTCGCAATAACTCTGTGAGGTAAGGCGGACTGAGAGAGAGTGACTGGTCCAGAGTGACAAGATCACCCAGTCAGTGTCATGGCTTGGGGGGGACTAGAATTGTGGACCTTCCAGATTTTCCTTCTAAACACACTATTTTACAAACAGGAGATGATAGTGATTATACACCGCCAATACCAAGGGGAGAGATCCATACTACTGAATGCAGGGTCCAGAGCTGCCTGAGAAGACGAAAAAACCCAGGGGGGGAGATGGTCTGTTCCCAAGTCATTCATCATTCAGCTCTCTGTGTCCCATTGTTATTCTAAAGAGAGCCTTCTGAAAGCTTACCAATGGACTTGAAGTATTCTAGGGCATTCTGAGCTGGTCCATGATAGAGCATTCTTCCTGCAGCCAATAAGGTCAGCTTATCAAATAGCCTGAAGATGGAGTAGCGTGGTTGATGGATGGAAAATATTATTGTTCTTCCTTGCCTAGCCATCCTGCACACAAGAAGAGGCAGCCACGAAAAATATACTAAGGGACGAGAGACACACACACCTCTTTCCCCATCCCCTTTTGTGCCTTTTTGATCCACCAGCAGGTGCATCGAAACCCAGATGTGCATCTCTGCAGCCTAACACATCTCTTTCTGACCTCATGTTGAGAAGTTGTTACATCCCTCTCTTATTCCCAAAAAAGCTCCAGGAGGCATTACTGATTTTTTTTTCATTTTATGTTGCAACAACCCTGTGAGGTAGAGCAGGCTAAGAGAGAATGAGGGATCTAAATCCATTTACTAGCCTAAACTGCCTGCGTTCTGATTATCTTAGGAGGCCTTCCCCCCCATAGACCTCCCATGTACGCTCCTCCTCCAGAGTCCATCCATCATATGGTAATTACTTTGCCATGCACCTATTTTTTTCTCTCCCCGTTTTCTCTAAATTTAATGACACTTCACTTGGAATCCAACCGATGATTTAAGCTTGCTCAAGGAAAATCCCCTAAATTGTAGTAGCAAATTGCTGCTCAGGAATGAGGTTTCCTTTGTGGCCCTGGGTGCTGCTGACTGATTTCATGATCAGGCACAGGCTCAAGGATACAAAAAGCAACTCATTAAGGAGCTTCCATCGGCTTCCACAACTTGTGTGATTCCTCTCATGCCAGCATAAATCACTGCTAGGATTCCTGGCCACTATTGTATTGTCGTATGTTCAATCTGGAAACTGTCTGCAATATCACTTACACATGAAGGAACAGGAACAAGTTTAAATACATGCTTTTAAAATTGGCCGAGGAAGCTTTTAAACCAAGCTATCCTTAGTCCAATACAAACACTTCCCCTTAATCATAGTGGTTCACATAAGAAGCCCATCTTGGAAATGCAGCATTTTTTATTCAAATCGAGGACGTCCGCTTCTTCCAAACACAGTCAACCCAGCTGTTACCTTTTCAGGAGCAGCAGGACAGCATTACTTGTGCTGGAATCCAGTCCAGTGGTAGGCTCATCTAAGAACAAGATTCCAGGATCAGTAATGAGCTCCATTCCGATATTGGTCCTCTTTCTCTCTCCCCCAGAGATCCCACGAATGAACTGGGTTCCAACCTAATGCAAGACAAAAATTTTCCCTGGTGTTTTCTGATTGTGCCTTGGAAACACTTTCAGGTGCCACAGTATTTGTGTGTGTGTGTGTGTGTGTGTGTGTGTGTGTGTGTGTGTGTGTGTGTGTGTGTGTGTGTGTGTGTGTGTGTGTGTGTGTGTGTGTGTGTTTTAAATTTTTATCTGGATATGCTCACACAGACTAACACGTCTATTTTGAGGAGACAGCCTGGCCATGCCTCCTCCCACATTGTATCTTTCGCAGTTATAGCGCTGGGTGTGAAGAGAAGAATAGTCTTGCTCATGTGTAGGCACTATGCCAGTGGTTCCAAACCTTGGTCCCCCAAGTGTTCTTGGACTAAAACTCCCAGAAGCCTTCATCAATAGGTGTTTGTTAAGTTTTCTGGGAGTTGTAGTCCAAGGACATCTGGGGGCCAAAGGTTGGGAACCAGTGCTCTATACAAAGGCAAGATCTCCAGTTGTCCCTGGTTCTACACATGCGCAGGAACTCCTCCTTTTCAAATCCAGTATTGTAAAAGTGAAAAATGCAACAACAGAGGGGATAAAGCTAGGTGCTTTCCTCTATGCTCATTTGTAGCGCTGAGTTGCCTACTGCCTGAAGAGGGCTTTGTTCTAATCAAATTGAAAGCATCAATTACCAGTATTCAGTTATGCTTATAAAACTAGTTCAGCCTTCAGTGCCATCAGGAGGAAACATTCAACTATCAGAAACACGGGACCATACCACTGAAGGGACGAGGTGGAACAGAACAAAGCAAAATGAAACAGATGGCCACAAAGAGATGCCGATGCTCACACACTTTTGAACAAAGGTCAGTCAGGGAAAGCCTGTTTCAAACGACATTTAATCCCAAAGTAGATACTCTGTCAACTAGATCAAATTTACATACCCTATAATCTCATTAGTATTCTAGAATTTATCTGAGTATTACCCACTTCGGTGAATATCCTACCTTGAATATCAGGAAAAACCTCCTAATTCTTAGAGCAGTATGACAGTGGAACCAGTTACCTCAGGAGTTGGTGAGTGCTCCAACACTGGAGGCAAGTAGCATTCAAGAAAAACTTAGATAATCATCTGGCAGATATGCTTTGAATGTATTCTTGCATCAAGCAGGGGGTTGGACTTGATGGCCTTGTAGGCCCCTTCCAACTTCACTTTTCTATGATTCTAATTTCCCACTCAGAACCCCTTGCAGTGAAGAACAAATAAAATTCACTAGTCAACTGGATTACACAGAAGTAAGACCTGTATAGTTCCATCAGTAGAAAGGCCAGACATGAAGACTCAATCTGGTGCTCTACAACCCCACCCAAATCAGCTCTAGCTCCAGGCTTCACACACTCTTGAGCAGATCCCTACATCTTAAGGAGGCATCTTACACTAAATGAGTCTGATGTCTGCCACCTAGTGACTGAAATGGGACTGTAAAACTATAGGTAGATTTTAATTAATTGACATTGATCAATCTGTTTTTAAAACAAAAAAAGCACACATCTTCCAAATCCCCATAAGATCATGTTGAATGCAGAGGAGAGATAACCACACATGCACACACAAGCATGCACACATCCCATCTTATTGTGACTTCTGCAAAACTCTAAACTGAATGAAGATCTTATAGCTGTTCATCAGTCTATAATCGACTGAGAACTAATTACCTAGATGTAAACTAATGAAGAAAATATCTACTACACTGTTGTGGGAGAGAGTGCAGAACACACATATTAACACTGGACTTTTCTGTTCTTTGAAATATCAGTATAACATTACATAATAATATAGACAGCAGAAGTTAACTTTTTTCTACTACAGTTCTCAGACTCCTCCAGCTAGCACAGCTGGGGCATTCTGGGAGGTGTAGTCGAAACGCCTCCCAAGCTCTTTACAAATCTATTACCTTTGAATCGGCCACCTTTGTCAAGCCCAGTTCATTGATGATCTGGTTTATCCTTTCGTCCTTTTCTTTCTGTTTCACAGTACTTGGAAGTCGGAGGGCTGCGGAGAATTGGAAGTTCTCCCGGACAGTCAAGGTTCCCATCACTACATCATCCTGAACAATTGAAGGGAAAATTTTAAGCTTCTTCTAGACTTGTGTTTAAAACTGGCAAAGGCTTCAAAGCACACATTAAGCTCCAAGCAAACATTCTTGGCCTGTGCTCTGCAGCACCAAGAAAAATATACAAGGCATTCAAAGCAAGCATGCACATCTTTGATTCAGGAAATGGGACTGCAAGTCACAACACAGGACACTTCTGATATAGCAGTGGCTTCAACAAATTGTAAGCTAATAAAATCAGAGACAACCCATTACCTGTACAACGTATCCAGAGATGCATTTAAAATTGGAAGGCTGCGGGGCACCGTTAATGAGAACATTTCCACTTAAGCCACGAGGGTCTTTCCTTGCAGCTAAAATGTCTAGCAGTCTAAAAAGAAATGAAACAACAACAAAAATGTTGTCACGCCTATTTTTTTAAAAAAAATTTTATTTTAATTTTTGCTGAGAGACAACTTGATGTGATAGTAATTCAGTAAGGGGGGGGGTTGAGAGAGTAATTCATTATGCAGCAAACATAGCTTTGGAACCACACAGATTTGGGAAGGGCAGTTTAACTACTCCAGATATCAGCTCTCTAAAACTGCTATTTGCATTTCAAAATTTCTATAGAAATTTATGTATATGATTGCAGCATTACGCTAGAATCATAGGAAGAGACAAATATTCCAGCCAGATAGTCTGTACAATTACCTTATACAGAGATATATTAAATCAATTGGTCAGTCTGGAGAAATTTCTTTTATTAAAATGAAATGGATTGGTGTTATGATTAAAGTGAACTGCTTTCATTCGTTACTGCAAGACTTACGAAGATTTGCCACAGCCAGTTGGTCCCAGGATTGCATTCAGACCTGGTCTCATTATTCCACTGCAAAACAATACCAACACATTTCTAGTTAGCTGTTTCATTCTTCGTGCTTTACATTCATTAATCAAAAATAATATCTCAATTTGCTATAACAGAAGAGTCCAGGATTTGCCTGGACCCAGGACTTTGGGCTGAAAGACAATCTACGTTAAAATGCATTGTGTACAGATGAACCTCATTTTTATCACTGACTTCCAAGTGTCTGGGAGAGCTTGTGAATCCAGATTTGGGAAACTTAAACCTCTTCTGCCCACTAGTTTTTCTCAGGAATTATCCCCATCAATTGGGCTTTTTGAAAAGAAAAAATCTAAAGGTTCCCCTTGATATTTCGTCCAGTTATGTCAACTCTAGGGGGTGGTGCTCATCCCCATCTCCAAGCCGTAGAGCCAGCGTTTGTCCAAAGACAATCTTCCGTGGTCATGTGACCAGCGTGACTAAACACGGAACGCCGTTACCTTCCCACTGAGGTGGTCCCTATTTATCTATGCTTTCAAACCACTAGGTTGACAGGAGCTGGGACAAGTAACGGGAGCTTACTCCGTCATGTGGATTCGATCTTACGACGGCTGGTCTTCTGACCCTGCAGTACAGAGGCTTCTGTGGTTTAACCCACAGCGCCACCATGTCCCTTTGGTTTACTCTAACATGTTCCAAAAGCTGCACATTAAAAGGGATTAAAAGGGATATTGAGCAATCTGTGTTTCAGTGAAGCTTGCCCAGTATTACTGAACTGCTTGTCAAGGAGCTCATGGACAAATTCAGCAAGCCATAGGGCTCCCCAGAATGTAAGAGCCCTGCTGGATAAATCTAGGACCCTGCTTCTGTTTCAGAATTGCCAACCTGATGACTCTGGGATATCCAGGCATCAACCAGGAAGGCAACACCCCGCACCCATAACCAATATCCAAGGTTTGGAAGTATTATCTTTGTTGCACCACATTTAAGACAACATCATCATCATCTTAGAACTGCATAACTAAAAGGGACCGTATGGATCATCAAATCCAACCCCCATCAAGGAGACACAGTGGGGAATCAAACTCCCAACCTCTGGCTCCACAGCCAGAGATGTAAACCAATGAGCTATCCAGCAGTTCCTTATATCCAGTTGCCATTCTGGCTACGGGATTCCTAGAGTCGTGGACCAAAACTGTAACTCTTCCAAGCCCTGCAAATTAATTAGGCGCTTCTGATTCAGTTGCCATTCTGGCTACGGGATTCTTAGAGTCGTGGACCAAAACTGTAACTCTTTCAAGCCCTGCAAATTAATTAGGCGCTTCTGAAGAAGTATCATCTGTAGGAAGAAAGACTTCATTTCATGAATAGAAAAGGAGAGAACGTTCTTCCTATTTGTGTATCATGTGTATTTTTTTAAAGGGTATCATATTTCCTGCACACTCGTCCTCTTGCCACCTGCCAAGTTGGGTTTTTTAAGCTAAAAAGCCCCAAATGTTATAATTTCCCCCTTACACATAAAACCATGCAGCTACCTGATCATTTCCGTTGCCCTCTCCTGCAACTTTTCAAGTACATTTTAATACCATTTAGACTAAATCCATTGCTTTGAGTATTCAAAAATTCCACTTCGTATCCTTCTTCAAACAATATAGGTAAAGGTAAAGGTTCCCCTTGACAATTTTTGTCCAGTCGTGTTCGACTCTAGGGGGCGGTGCTCATCCCCGTTTCCAAGCCATAGAGCCAGCATTTTGTCCGAAGACAATCTTCCATGGTCACATGGCCAGTGCGACTTAGACACGGAACACTGTTACCTTCCCACCGAGGTGGTCCCTATTTATCTACTTGCTTTTGCATGCTTTTGAACCGCTAGGTTGGCGGGAGCTGGGACAAGCGACGGGAGCTCACCCCGTCGCGTGGATTCGATCTTATGACTGCTTGGTCTTCTGACCCTGCAGCACAGGATTCTGCGGTTTAGCCCACAGCGCCACCACGTCCCTTTTTCAAACAATATATGTACTGTGAAAAACAAGGAACAAAAGGGAAAGGCAAACAGAAGTGTTTAAAGTATCAGTTTAGAAGGATAGCAGCCATGGATCTACAGATGTTCTGTGGAACATTATGGTTAACATCACCCGACTGGGGCATCTTGGGAGATATAGTCCGGAAAAGGTAATAATTCCAACTCCGTTCACGACCGCTGTTTTCATAACACATGTTTTTCTATGGTGTGCTGTGTAGCTGATGATTAACAATTGCTTTCATAACTCATTGTTTCAGCTTATATAACTGTGTGCTGTGGAATATTATGCAAGGCATGACATTGCCATTTTCCATGCAGCGATATAATTAATATACTGCGAAGAACAAGGAAGGAAATAGGAAGAAATATGGAAGTCTTAAAAGAATTCATGTTTAGAAAAAAAAAGATAAGCCATTAGTCCACCGATCTTCCCTGAAACTTGGACACTAACTCTGTGGTATACAAGGGCTCATAGCAGCTGCTTTCATAATCCATTGTTTCAGCTTTATGTAACTGCATGTTACCAAATATTCTGCAGGGCGTTAACTCCAGGACCTTTCACACACAGGGCAATATAATCCGGTTAATAATTTATATCTATATTATACACAGCTGTCAAGGTAATACAGAGTTTCTACGGCTTCATGTGTCCCTTGAAGGAAACATGAAAGAAAATGATATACAGTACTAAAGGCTATCATCCAAAAAGGGAACATATCAGCAAAAGAAAGAAGTTGTGTCTGCAATCCGAACTTTGCCTCCTGTGGTTTGCTCCCTTGGGCTCAGGCTGTCTGAAGGACCACAATACCCCATATGAGCTTGTTTGGGTTCTAAGATCCTCTGGGGAGGCCCTTCTCTCAAATTCCACTCCCTTCCTCAGGCCCCTTTGGTGAGGTTGGAAGAAAGGGTCTTCTCAGTGGCGGCTTCCAAGTTTTGAAATGCACTGCTCAGAGACGCCAGGTCGGCTGCCTCTCTCTTGTCCTTCTACCATCAGGCAAAGAGCTTCCGGTCCAGGCAAGCTTTTAAGCAATAGGTGTGGGGTTTAGGAATGCTACATTTATTGAAATTTGAGATTTTAATATTGCTATACATTTACCGCATTTTTTGTGTATAAGACGCCCCCATGTATAAGACGTCCCCCACTTTTCTAATCCAAAATTAAGAAATCTAAGTGGGGCTTAACAAGTGTAGGGGAAAAGGGATCAAAGCACTGCAGGATCGCTTTGATCCCTCCTTTCCCCTCCACTTGTTTTTGTTCTCTCCTCAGCTTACTTCCGTGTATAAAACTACCCTCAGTTTTTAGTCTAAAGATTGTAGACATAAGTATAGTCTTATACATGGAAAAATACGATTATTTTTCTAGTATGGTTTTTATGATTCTGTAAAATAAAATAAAGACCAAAAATTTACTACAGTTAGTCAAACAGTCCGACATGAACAAAACTGCCTCTCTTATAAAGCACTCACTAATGACACCAGGGGAATCCAGCATATTTGGCGTTAGATTTCTGAAAAACCTAAAATTGTGAAGGAGGAGTATTTCTCACCGAACTGCATCAGCTGTTTATTAACAACTACCAAATACATTTCATTCAGCACAAGATTATTTGTCTTCTTTTTGTTGCTGACTCGGTGCCAGTGACCTCACCACCACCATTGTCAACCTTAGTTTTTCTTTGAAGGAAGCAAAAAATTATGTTTAGTGGGCCAGATCTCACAGCGGCTTGCTAGAGGGAAACACGGCCGCTTGCGCAAGATGGGTCAGCTGATTTTAGCAGAATTATCACACTGCTCACCACTACAACTATGCAGAAATGCCGATTTTGAGGATTAGAGGACATTTTGGAACAGTATAGAATAAGGGAAAGAAGACTACGTGAGATAGGCGAGACCACCAAACACCAGGTATCTCATGTTGTGCAAATGGAAGCACTTTCATTATCATCATCTCTGAACTGCAGAATTGGAAGGGACTCAATGGATCATCAAGTCCAACCCCTGTCAAGGAGACATGGGGGGAGCGTCAAATTCCCAATCTCTAGCTCTGCAGCCAGATACCTAAACTACTAACTTGAAATTCCTTGACAGGAATTCAATTTTACAGCACTCCATTCAGCCCACTGAAATTAAACAATGGACTGCTGCACTGATGAACTTGGACTGCATTTTAATTCCATCAGACATCATGCTCTTACATCAATAGTGCAAGCATCTTACTGATCAGGCTTTCTCAGGAATGGAGAACACATTGCCTTATAACTATCTAGGCATTACTAGAGGGAACAATTCCACCCCTTGAGTCTACTGTCAAGGAAGGCTGTATTTGCCATAAAGCAAGTTCATGCATTTTAATAGTAATCCCTGTCAAGGAGACATGGGGGGAGGGTAAAATTCCCAGTCTTTAGCTCTGCAGCCAGATACCTAAACTACTGACTATCCAGGAATTCAATTTTACAGCACTCCATTCAGCCCACTGAAATTAAACAATGGACTGCTGCACTGATGAACTTGGACTGCATTTTAATTCCATCAGACATCATGCTCTTACATCAATAGTGCAAGCATCTTACTGATCAGGCTTTCTCAGGAATGGAGAACACATTGCCTTATAACTATCTAGGCATTACTAGAGGGAACAATTCCACCCCTTGAGTCTACTGTCAAGTAGAAGGAAGGCTGTATTTGACATAAAGCAAGTTCATGCATTTTAATAGTAATGTACATAGTGGCCTTTGCCAAGGTTTTCAAGGTCTCATGAACTCAAAAGTAGTTTAACCAGTCCCTCCTTCTGGTGATGCTGTGGAACAATGCAGCTTGCCCAAGGTTATAAAGATGGCAAGGTACACCGTAACTCAATCAGCTACACATTCACTGACTGATCCTGAGGGGCTTCTCTCCAGGGAGATCTAGTGGGGATTTAAACTCTTGAACCCTGACTCCACAACTAGGAGCTCCAACCCACCGAGCTACATCAGCTCCCCTTAATGCATTTTAGTGGCAACTGAACTGCAAACAGGTAGGCCTCTGAGTCACTTCCTGCCTATGCCATCAACTCGTTTGGTGGCCTTAAGAAAAATGGCTGTCCTCTCACCCTCATTCTCTGATTGACAACATGGAGAGAATAATGCTTATTCACATTACAGAATTGTTGTAAGGACTGCTAAATAAGAGGATACCACAGTACTATTTTCAAATACTATAATGAAAATAGTACTGTATTTCATTATAGATGAAATACTGTCAACTCCTTGAAAAGGGCAATACAAAAATGTATGTGTTTTCATAAAGGAAGAAAGCAAAGTACAGGATCTCACTGAGAAATAAATACATACTTTATGTCTGTGAGGATGTTTTTCTTGACTATTTTTCGACAACCGATAAAGCCAGTTTTTGTCTTCACTCTGTAGCAGATATTGTGAAAACTGACGGTGGAGGCCCGTGTTGTGCTCCAGGTGGACACCTTTGGACTTGGGACGCCATTCATACTGGAATCTGACATTGAGATGTTGACTTGGGAATTGTGCGCCATCTTCTTTAAGAAGCTTCACCCCTGTGGGCCATAAAAAACAAAGCTGATGACCGCACACAGACACACACACAACACACAACAAATTTCGGGCACATCACTTTGTACACTCCCCCTTACAGATATATGGCAAAAGATTTGCCAAATTTCTCCCTCCAACCCAACTGCCCTGCCCCCATTGCAAGATATTGAACAGATATAATTATGGAGGTGGATTTGCGAGGTTGGAAACACTAGCCCATCAGCACTCTGCACAGACAGGTTGCAAAGAAGAACACACCTTGTATCGGAACGCAATGCAGTAAGTGCACTTCTATAATAACAAGGAAGTTATATGTATATAAGCCTTAGATTTTTAGCATTTTGACCTTAAATAAGCAAGACAGCCAGTTTGCAGACAAACTAAGTTATGTGCTGGAACAAGATTTGTCGTTTGTGAAGCAGCTAAGTATTACCAACAGCCCCTAACTCTTGGTCTCGCTTCCTGCATTATTAATAGAACCTTCCCACTCTTCTCTAGTATAAGTGCCATGTTCGTGGTTCCAGGAATTGGCACATCAACCACAGTATTCCATAGATGTCAAGGCTAACTCTGACATGGCTTGTGTGAGCAGTAGAAAATCTCCAGCCTTTGCCCAAGCCCTTTTCAGAGGAGGACTCAAGCCGGAAAACACATTAGATTAAAAAAAAAAAAACCCTGCTCATTACACACACTAGCCACTGCATCACAAAGCATCGGTGGAGAATGAAAGTAGCCAAATCTATGTCAAAGATACATACCTAGCTCTCCAGTAGAATAATCTCCAGTCCACTGTACTACATGCAGTGATATCTAAGTTGGGAAGAAGCTGTCCATATAGAGACAGTCAGTCAGACAGACAGACACTTCGGTAGGACAATAATAAAAGGAATCATTATTGACCCCCACAGTGTTGGGCTGCACCAGAAGGAATGTACATACAAGGACTACGGTATAGCCTTCTTGCAAGTCCTTTGTAAGCAAGCTGTGCTGTTGCTGCTGGAACAAGCTGAAGCAAAAATGCCAAGGAAAGGTAACCCTGACCTAAGTGCAGCCCCACCTCACTGTTTAACCTGTCAAACTTTATGGGTAGGAAGATAAGGAGGATGAATAACCCCATAGCCAAAGATAGCAGAATCAACTACGTACAAGGGCTGGTCCTATGAACAGCAGGAACCAAAACTGCACCAGAAAATACTGAAGTGAATGACCGAGTAGCCATGAGGCCTCTGGTACTCCTTCCTGATTAGTTCTGGAGAGCACCATACACCGTTTCTTGATGAGTTAAAACATTCCCCTACAATGGGCCAAAGTTTTCCCTAAGGCTTGACAACTATGGGTAAAATTCAAGCAAGAGACAGAAGTCGTCTAATGGGATTTCGCTTCTGCTCTCCCCCTCCTCAACATTCTTTATCCACAGGTGTTTAAAAAGTCAACGCCTTATTGGCTCCAGGTATTCCATTCCCGATTCGTTGTGGTTGTGCTGTCAACTTGCCTCCAACCTATCCTCAACAACCCTGCTCAGCTCTTCTATGCTCAAGTCTGTGGCTCCCTTTAGGGCAGGGGTCTCAAACTCAATATACCTGGGGACTGCTGGAGGCAGAGTCTGCGTGAGGCTGGGCTGCATCAGATTTTCCACCAAGCGGAGCAAGAGCCTGAGGAAGCCGCCCAGGAGTTTCCTTAGCCTAGCTGGGGCACCGAGGAGGAGGAGGGGCAGTGAGCGAGCCCCTCGTCCTGGCCATGACTCCCTCCAGCTCCTTCTTCACTACTAGCACCACCAGCAGGACGAAGAAGTATAGAAGGAAGGGAGCGCCGGCAACCGCCTAGCCAGGGGGAGGAGGGCACGACATAAAATTTTTTTAAAAGCCCTCACAGAATTTGCCTTTCCAAAGGAGAAAAGCCCCCACCGGTACCCGCAAAATTAAACAGAACGGGGTGGGGGGCCCAACAGGTGCATGCGCATGCATGCACACACATGCACATGGAGGTCCGGCAACCTTCCTCTGAGGGCCCCCCTCAAAAAAAGGTGTACTCAGCAGCAGCAGCTATCCCCACCACGACAGGCGAGCTGGCTGGCAGGCTCCAGTTCTGGATGGAGGGTGCAAGAGGCGCTGTCTTGGGAGAGAGCCGGAGAGCGAGGCGAGGCTTTTTTTTACTCTTGACAGCAGAAGATGCGTGGGCGCTTCAGGGGGGCAGGCAAGGTGGGGGCCACAATCTATCATCCGGCGGGCCGCAAATGGCCCCCAGGCCGCATGTTTGAGACCTCTGCTTTAGGGTGTCAATCTATGTCATATGTGGTCTTCCTCTTTTCCTGCTGCCTTCAACCTTTCTCAGTATTAGTGTCTTTTCCAGAGAACTCTGCCTGCTCGTGATGTGCCCAAAGTAGAACAGCCTCAGTTTCATCATTTTGGCCTCTAGAGATACAGTAGCTCAGTCTTGATTTGTTCTAGGGCCCATTTGTTTGTCTTTCTGGCAGTGCAGGGCATCCACAGAGCCGTCCTCCAGCATTATATTTCAAATGAATATTTCCCCCCTGTAAGCTTTCTTTACTATCTAGCTTTCATAACCAGTCATGGTAATCAGCAATACAAGAATATGGATAATCTTGGTCTCTTCATTCTCAACATCAGCATTGTGTGTTTCTTCTATAGTCATAATTTTTGTCTTCTTAAAGTTCAATTGCAGTCCTGTTTTGTCACTTTCTTCTTTCACTTTCACTAGACGTTGTTTCAAGTCATTGCTGCTTTCCACTAGTAAAATGGTGTCCTCCACATATCTTAAATTACTGATGTTTTTTCCAACAATTTTCAGCTTCCTTTATCACAATCTAGTCTGGCTTTCTATGTGATTTTTAAATGCATACAGACTGAACAGATAAGGGAATCAAGTGTACCCATGTCTGTTACCTTTGCCTAGAGGAAACCGTTCTGTTTCTCCATAATCTCTCTTAATGGTACCTTCTTGTCCACAGTACAGGACAATGAAATGTTGAGGCACACCCATTTCTTTAAGAACAACCCATAGTTTCCATGATCCACACAGTCAAATGCTTTGCTGTAGTCTATAAAGCATAGACTGGTCTGAAATTCTTCAGTGTGCTCCAGAAGTCAGCTTTATTTGCAATATGATCTGAAGTGCCTCTTCCTTTTGGGACTCCAGTTTGAACATGATGCATTTTTTATACCATATCATTCCAACTCTATGAGCATCACCTTGCTTGCATGTGAAGTTACTGCATTCCTTGGCATCTTCTTTCTTGGAAATTGGAATGTATATTGAACATTGCCAGTCTGTGAGCCATTGTTTCATTTGCATATTTGTTGGCATATTCTCATTAAGATTTTGACAGATCCAAACTTTATTGCTTGAAATATTTCTACTGGTATCCCATCTACCCCTCGTGATTTATTTTTTTCCCATTGCTTTCAGAGCAGCACTCATTTCACTTTCTAGAACTGCAGATTATTCATCACAGGATTCCTCTTGAAAGGAGTCTATCATCCATTTATGTCTTCTGTATAGGTCTTCAACATACTGTTTCCACATTCTCTTTATTTTCTCTTGGTCAGTTGGCATGCTTCCTTGTTGGTGATACAGCATTCCTAATCAAGGCTTACGTTTCCCTTTGATTTATTGGGTCCCAGGTTATAGTGTAACATAAACAGCAACTCAAGCAATCTCCCTTCTTCCTTCCGGGAGCCTTTTAAAATCACATAGCAAACGACATCATTTCAGTCCAATTTTGTTTGAAACGAGACTCTTGTTTCCTCTCCTGTTGCACTGAAAGCTCTCTTGATGAAGATACTCCAGTTATTCACATTTCATAATAACATGGAAATGTGCAGGAAGATGAGCAACTTTTAACTTTTTAAAAATTATTTACATGTTATTTTTAACATAATGTATTTACAGTTTTAAAAAGCCCAATATTTGCTAAGATGCAAGAAGATTATGCAGAAATATTTTCATGGGACTAGCTGCATGTTCTGGCAAATAATTTTTGGATTTTTGAACTCTGGATATAGTAGAATGCTGCTTGTTCTTTAATGACTCATAGACATGACAAAATCTAATAGCAAACACTGAAAGCATTGACTTCCCAAGGCATGTCTTCAATCTGCAAGCTGAATCTTTCGTGAGGCAACAGCTACACACAAAACAGTTCACCAAAGACTGAACACCATCACACTCTGTCTTTTGAGTTTTGTTGTTAGTGCAACAACAGTTAATGATAATAAATCCTGGCTCAGATTTAGTACACAACAAGGACCCTGATGCGTAGCACACAATCTAGCAAAAGTCCCCCATAATCATGTCACATTGAAATCAATGGGATAGGCTAGTTTTCAATTTTACACTGACATTTTTTATGATTAGCATTTGCTGGACTATGCCCATACCAAGAAAATACACTGTACCTCATTACAATTTACTACTTTATTATTACTTATTTCATATATGGTGCTTCAATAAATTTAAATGGTTCAAGTAATTTATTAATAATTATTTCACATACTGTATAATGCTTTTAAAAAAACTACATCATTTAAGAAGAAACACCCATTGTAGTCTAGTGGATAGTGTGATGGCCTAGGACACAGGGGACCTGCGTTCAAATCCCTGCTTGGCCATGGTAATACATGGAAGGATGGGTGGAATTGGTAAAACCATTTCTTAAATATCTCATATATCTTAAAAGCCCTATTGGAGATGCTATGTTAGTTGTGATTTGACAGCACATAATGCATGTACACAACATTAGATATAGAAACTGCTTACATCAAAAGCAAAGAGATCTTAAGAAGAGAAGCATGTGATATAAAAGACTATGGAAATGGGGATGATGAATGGACAGCAAGAAGTCAAGTAAAAACAGAAACTCAAATCTGCAGTGTAAATTTAGAACTAGGTTGAGATGCCTGTCTGTCAGGAAGTGGGACATTCCATGGGGAGAGAGCATAAAAGAACATCTATTAAGGGCAGAAAAATGACTTTTAGGTGTGGCGAGTATACGATGCCAGCAAAATATAAATAGCATGAAAACACAAAAAGTCAGTAACCTAACAAGCTGCTTTTTGAATAACAGGTGTTGGTGTGTAGAGTTTAGGAAAAGGGATCAGATCTATTTGGGAAAGTTTGTTGTTATTTATTACATGCTGTCAACTCACCTCTGATTTATAGCAATCCTATGAGTAGGTGTCGTCCATAGTGTCCTATCATTAACAACTCTGGCAAATTCAAGCTTATGACTTTCTTTATGGCGTCAATCCATCTCAGATTTGGTCTTCCTCTTTTCCTGCTGCCTACAACTTTTCCTAGCATTACTGTCTTTTCCAGGGAGACTTGTCTTCTCATGATGCGCACCAAAGTATGACAGCATCAGTTTTGTTGTTTTTGCTTCTTGAATTAGTTCAGGCCTGATCTGAAACCGGGAGACTTGTCTTCTCATGATGTGCACCGAAGTATGACAGCGTCAGTTTTGTTGTTTTTGCCTCTTGAATTAGTTCAGGCCTGATCTGAAACAGAGCCCACTTGTATGCCTTTTAGGAAGTCCCAGGCATCTTCAAAAGTCTCCTCCACAACCATATTGTGAATGAATCTATCTTTTTCCTGTCACTTTTCTTTACTGTCCAGCTTCCACGTGTGTACATATTAATTGGAAATATAATATCATTGGGATCTTGGCCATATTCATCAAAGTCACATCTTTACATTTGATGATCTTCTATAGATTTTTCATAGCTCCTCTCCCAAGTTTCAGTCTTCTTCTGATTTCTTGGTCTCTCCCAAGTTTCAGTCTTCTTCTAATTTCTTGACCATAGTCTTCATTTTGTTTGATGAATGAACCGCAGTATACATTTGGAAAGTACTATTTATTTTAGGGTTTTGTTGTCATAGTAATAAGCAGTTGATATTCAAAAGCAAAGGTTTCATAACTGAAACCTAGTGTCTTTAAGTATGAAATTCTTTTGCATCTGTATGATACTTTTGGGGGAAGTCACGTTTATATATCATTTCTGAGTGGACGCGACACGGCCAGGTTTAGTCCTATGAGTTATAGACATAAAATTTTCTCCCAGATTTCCACTATAAAGCTTTTACTGCTAATGAATGGCAGCCTCTCAAGTGTAGTGCAAAGGTATGGTGTTGGATAAAGGTTTTTTAAAAGGTTATGAAAAAACAGAAGTTTAATAGCAATAGGAAATGAGATAAGGTCATCTGAATAAGAAAGAAGAAAGGTTGTTTATTTTCATGTTATATGTACTGCTAAATGCTGACTACTTTTTAATTTATTTTCATCTTAAACATTTAGTCCTGTGAGTCAGCTGGATAAAACCGAACAAATAAATATTGCAGGGGGAAACAGTGACAGCAAAATACAATAGCAGTCCAACGTATGTCTGCTTAGAATCAAGTCCATTTGAGTTCAATAGAATTTCCTTTCACAGCCCGGTCCAACATATGTCTGCTTAGAAGCAAGTCCATTTGAGTTCAATAGAATTTCCTGGTAAGTCTCTAGAAGACAGCATTCTCAATCATCACAAATGCCATCTTGAACATAAGAGTTTTAATCAACTTGCTAAGGAAACACACTGAGCTGGCCATATGGGTTTGCTGAGCATAGAACTGCATAGACAGGATGCAACAATACAGAAGGTGCTGACTGTTAATGTACCGTACATCCAGATGCATTGGGATCCACTGGCAGAGTGAGGTTTACTGGTGGATCTACAGATGATTTAGATTAGATTGACAAGGACTTTTGACTCCCAAGGATTTAGCCAAAAAATATATATAAAAATTCTCCTTCTCCACTGAGCTGCTGAAAGAAAACGAGAGTGTGTGGGAAAAAGAAAAGTGATTGAAGAATCTGGGTTTGTTACACAATTTTATGCCTGCCTTTCTGAAGAAGGAGACCACTCAATTGTCCCGGTTTGATTATCCTAAAGAGGGTTGCCCTGAGGTGCAATATGCCATTTTGGTCAATCCTGGCATCCACATGCAAGGTTTGTGTGGTTTCGGGGCAGAATCACACACACACACACCTCAAGTGACCCCATTTATCCCATTCCTCACTTTAAAGGAAAAAAAAATCCAAGTGAAACAGTATTTACCTGCAGTTTTAGAAGAGGTCACCATGTTAGTCTGAGCAAATATATCAGACAAAATCCAAGGAAACAATACAATACAATACAAATACAAAAACATGTGAAACCTTAAAGACTAGCCATTCCATTTTAATGTAAGCTTACATGGACACGTGCACGTCGTCAGACATTAAGAGACAGAATGAAATTAAATGAAATTTATATGAAATATCAGTTTCACATTCAAAATATTCATTGGTTACATGCAGTAATTAGGTCTATGTTTGTTTTACAGTCCTGTTGTAAAAATACATCAGGAAGACAGAAAATTGACACCAGGTCTGAGCAGAGATGAGAGGTGGCAGGGGAGGGGAGAGAGAGAAAGGGGGGTTGAAGATGCAATTAACCTCAAGAGGAGAAAGAAAATACTGGATTACTGAGCGAATAGTTCAGGACTGAATGACAGGGGCTTTTAAAACAAAAAAGAACACCTTTGCTTCCTCTTCTATCTTCTTCTCCATGGAGACACCGTAGGAAGCTTTCAATTTGTGAACAACTGCTTAGGTCCTGCAGCAGCTAAGCTGAAACTGACAGCAAGCCATCTGCTTTGGTTTGATCCTGGCCACCACAAATGTCAGAAGCAAACCAAAATGGAGCAATCCCACCTGCGCACGCATGCCCACGCAGACACAGAGTGGCCGGACAGAGACCAAAAAGATGCAGGTAGGCATTGATCTGGACAGATTCGTTCACAATTGCCCATATGCTTGCTGTGAGCCGCCCAGAGTAGACATTGTCTAGATGGGCGGCATATAAAGTTTAATAAATAAAAATAAATTAAAAAATAAATGCCATGCGGTTGCCAGAAAAAGGAGCACACCAGCCTATCCCCAAAGTGGACCAAACCATAGGGCAAATCCCGGTCGAATCGCACCCCGAATCACTGTTTCACACATTCGCTTCTACTGAATGGACCTCAGGAGTCTAGTGAAAAGCAAAGCAAAACCAACAAGACTGAAATCTACCCATCCATTACACACATTACTGGAAGGATTATAAAGATATACCATGCACCAGCATGCACTGAGCTTCACTTAACACTTTCCTCCTTAAAATACCAGCAGGTAAGACATAAAACTGCCCTGATCCATATTATTTTAAATTGGTTTATCAGAAATTTGAAATTGGCACACTCTATATGTATTCTATATTCTGCTATCTCTAATCGAGTTCTAAAGGTACAACAATACATGCTAAGATGTGTTTTCACAAGCAATTATAAGAATGCCTTTTAGGTTGCAATCTTATACCCATTTTTGGGGGGTAGGCACAGCCACATGCAATGGGACTTATATTGGTGAGTCAGCATGCAGAAGTATGTGCTATAGCATGCATAATTTGTAGATTTTGTTTATGTGGAACAGAAAATAGATGAGTCAGTTTCAAACAGAATACACATTTGAGTCATTGAGATTCATTCATTCTTTTGTATTACCAACATAAAATCAGATATGCGAAATGCCATTTAAGTGGCACTTATGACAAGTGGTCAAACTTGTTTAATAGCTATTTTGTTTAATAGCTATTTTGTTTTGGCAGAATTCACAGAAAAACTATGGTTTTAAAGAAACCCCTTTTCCCACAATATGAGAGACATATTTTAGCCAAAAGAAACTGACTGCACACTTTCATTCATTCCCATGCCTGGTTAGTGAATCTGGTAAAAAATGTTCTTTTTAGTTAAAACAGGTGAATATTCTGTAGTGATTTTTATAATTATTATTCAGTTTGTGTCTTGGTAAATTCTCATTGAAATTATTGACTTCATGAGATCAGTCCCTTAAAAAGTAGTATTTTAGTACTTACTTACTTACTTACTTACTTACTTACTTACTTACTTACTTACTTACTTACTTACTTACTTACTTACTTACTTACTTACTTACTTACTTACTTACAGTGAAGAGTCAGCTGTTTAAAGGTAAAGCTGTTGTTGGACAGCACTGGATAATCTCAGAGCACCTTTACGTAATTACTCTGATCTAAACCCGTTTTTATCCCAAATATACTCATTTATTTATTTCTGTCACTTTCAATCATTCCTTCTTAATTTACTGATATAATCAGAAGCTGACTGCATGTTTTTCATTCATTTCCTTCCTCGGTCGGTGAATCCAGTACAAAACTCTTCCATTTAGTTCTAACACCAAGGAAAACCCAAAGGCAAAGATCACCATTACTCAAGCCACGTCCTTATTATTTTGAGGGAAAAACACTTCAAAACACACAGTCTGTCTCAAGCGTGGAAAGCGGAGGGGGGGGGAGAGAGAGTTATGGTTCCAGAGATCCATTTTGGACTTACCTTTGTTGAAATTAAAAGGCAATAGCAGAATATAATAGAACTATATTCTCAGAGCAAAACTTGGAGAAGGAGAGTTTTGTAGTTTTCAGGAAGGCAACGTCTCTCCCTGGCCGAAGCATCCAAAGGACCACTTTCTGAAGCCTAAAAGACTAATCCACAGGAAAAGCAGCTGGTTGCTTTTCCCCTTTCGGGCTCCTTTTGGGTAACTCCTCTTTTCCGGGCCTTTTACAGGAGACAACTCAACCCTCCCCTTATCAGCTACAATTAAGGGAAGGATGAAAGGTCTCCTTTAGGGAGGGGCAAGCTCAAACTTTGTTTGACTAAGCTGGCAGTGTCACAGGAACCACCCACTATGCGTGCAGAAAGAAACACTTTGGTGTTTGACCACACGCCCAGTTCCTTCCTGTTCCCCAGCCCGGTCCCAAATTATGGGGGGAGGTGGGAGGTGGATATTTCATCTAGATCTGGGGGGAGGGGGATATGTCTGGCCTGACTTGATCTGCAAATTTGTAACTATGAGCGAAAATGTTTGTTCGTTTGTTTATTTATTAAATGCATATATTGTCCTACTTAGTGAAAGTTTACACAAGAAACATTTAAAAAACCACAGGAATATTAGTCTCACCAACCCTGATCTGATAGCACATAACACATAAAGCCAGAAAACCAACCACATCAAAAGTTAACAGGTAACTCGTAAGGTCATGTCTGAGGATGCTTATGCAGGGTGACTGACCTATTATCTCGAGACCTCCTGAGGTATTCAAATAGCTCACACAATAAATGAGACTGAGGCAAGCACACAAACAGCCCCGCTCTGTCACGGTCAACCTCGCGCTCTGGAAATTAGAGACAAACATCTGCAATGAAGATTTTTCTGACACTAGGAAAAGCAGAGGTCTAATCATAAAAGACTACCTGAGGTGAAAAGACTTCAAGATTAAGATGTTGGCTTCCATCTCATGGAAAGCAAGAAAAGCAATGATGGAAGGGGTGCCCATGTCTCCCACACACACATCTTCCTCATTAGGCATACATGTCAACCCCCTTCTTCCTCATCAGGTGGGTCATTTGACATCCGGAATGGAGCTTGACAAAGTTATATCTCTTGTATTATCCTTCTAGAACCACCCTCCCCTCTGTTGGCATGGTCAATAACAGGGGGGGATCATATTGTATTTCAAAAATGTAACTTCCACAAACTCATCTTCTCAATAGGGTCTAAGTGCCTGGATTGTATGATATTTGCTAAAGACAAATAGAAGCACTGAAAAATAAACAGTGCGCTAAGTAGCAAGCTTTAGTTTGAAACAAGAAGACACGTGCGGTCTCAAGCACTAACAGTGCCAGAGTTTCTTATCTCCTGCTGTCATTTCCTACTCATGGGTAGGAGGACCCCACAGGATGTGTCAGCTCAGTATGGAGGGAAAGATAAGTAGCATAACATTTGGGAGTCCTGGTGCTTCAGGACCCCAGTGTTGCTGGCAGGGTTTGTTGTTATGTGCCATCAAGTCAGAACTGACTGACAGCAATCCTAAGAGTAAGTGAAGTATTTAAGCAGCGGTTTCACCAGTTCCCACGTCCCACTGAATTTCCAGGGCACAGCTAGAGAACCAACCCCAAATCTCTCCCACTGAATTTCCATGGCACAGCTAGAGAACCAACCCCAAATCTCCTGAGTCCTACTCCATCACTCTGTCCACCTCACTTCACTGGATACCCTTGAAGGATTTACTAACTGTATAATTTATCACCCCACTGGATATCCTTGAAGGATTTACTAACTGTATAATTTATGGGTGTAAATGAACTATGTAGGCCGCAGGCCTTGTCAAGAAATGTAGAAGAACCGGTGTTTGAATGTACCTTTAGTTGTGAGAACAACGTGTAAGTTCTAATGGGAATTGGTCACACCCCTGTATAATACAACAGGCTCATCCAAAGAAATTTGCTCCATGGGTCAAAGATGTCCCCCCACACACACACACACACACACACTGCCTGGGTCAAAGATGTCCCCCCCACACACACACACACACATTCCCATTCCATACACAGAAGTAGACAGGTCTGGCTATGCAATTCTACTTCAACACTGGCCAATAAATGGGACAACACTGTACCATGCTCCTAGGTTTATGCGGCATATGGTAGGTGGCAGGGCACATACAATCCTATCGCCCAGCTTATTGCCACTGCTCTGTGCAATCTCTGTGTCATGTTGTGTCTAATGATAAAGGTAAAGGTTCCCCTTGACAATTTTTGTCCAGTCGTGTCCGACTCTAGGGGGCGGTGCTCATCCCGCTCTTCAAGCCATAGAGCCAGCGTTTTGTCCGAAGACAATCTTTCCGTGGTCACATGGCCAGTGTGATTTAGACACGGAACACTGTTTACCTTCCTACCGAGGTGGTCCCTATTTATCTACTCGCATTTGCATGCTTTCGAACCGCTAGGTTGGCGGGAGCTGGGACAAGCGACGGGTGCTCATTCCGTTGCGTGGATTCGATCTTACGACTGCCGGATCTTCTGACCCTGCAGCACAGGCTTCTGCGGTTTAGCCCACAGCACCACCACGTCCCTCGTGTCTAATGATAGGGTCAGCTCAATAATAGATGCATCTGCTCAAATGTGCCTATAATCATGCTGCCAGAAATTAAGAAGCTTAAACAAAAGGAGCTAAAACAAGTCAAAGAACAGCATTCTTCCTGTTTTTTAGAACGCACCAGACCTTTTTGGTTAATTACACAGATCAGACAATGGATGTTGCGGGAAGTGGGGGAGGGGGAGAAAAACTGAGCATTCATCTCAGGCCAAAAGAAATAATTCTCATGCACTGGAACAAGCAGCCCCCACCAAGGAACATAAGCTGATCTTTATGGAAAACCTGTGGCTCGGTGCATGGGACTTGCAGGTTTGTTCATTTATTTATTTATTTGCTTGGCTATATGGCTTTATAAAACACAAAGACGGATGGATTTCCAGAACCCTATTCACAGCATCATCAATTGAAATGCCTTCAGTATCAGGGCTAGGAAAGAAGCCTACTTAAGTCACTGGAGAGATACTTAACACTTGAGTAGCTAGACTAAAGAGAGCAAATGTGACTTTTGGGAACTACAATTCCATAATCCTCAGCTTTCATGACCACTGGCCATGGTGACTTAGGTATTCTAGGAGCTATAGTCCAAAAAAGGATAATTTCCCTTCTCTGAATTAGGGCAAGAACCAAATACAGTACAGTATAAAGCAGCTATACTACAGTACAGAGATTTAACAACAGGTCTCCTCTAACTCCAGGAGCAAGTGCCAAATACAGTATAAAGCAGCTACACTACAGTACAGAGATTTAAGAACAGGTCTCCTCTAACTCCAGGAGCAAGTTGCTCCTGCAGTTAAATTAGATTACAATTCCACACACATCCCTTGAATGGGTAGAGAAAGTGAATTCAGTCACCACTGGTTGACTTCAGTAAGGATGTCTGTGGAGGGGAGGCTACTTCCTGCAATGGGAAGCTGCGTATAGAAACAACCCATTAAACTCAGTTTCACATATTTGGGGAATTTCAGATATTCACTGGGAGGAAGACCTCTGCCTGAAATCTTGGAGAGTCACTGCAAAGCAGTAGGTAACAATGGGGATGGGAAATCTCTGGCTGGTACATTTGATGTGGTCCATAAGACTCACCAGTCTGGCCTGTTACATTGTGCCAGTCCATGCCGCCTTTCCACATTCCCCCTGCACCTTCTTCTCCCATTGTATTGCATGGAAGGACTTCTAAAACATCCCATCCACCACGTTGTTGTGGGTATTAAAACAAGGCCTTCTGCCCCTCCCGATCCATGTTGGACAGCATGAAGCACCACCTTGAGGAGAAGAATGGAGCCATCATGCCCACAGCTCTTAATACAAATTCCTCATGTCACACATTTCAGGAGAAGTAAAGAGTGACAGACAGACCCTGCTTTGTCACAGGATGGCTGTTAGCAGCAGCACAGTGAGTGAACTCGACTTTAGGCTACATATACTGTATAGGCATCCTTCAGTCTCAAGAGACTATGGGAACGTGCTCTGAATAGAGAACTTGGAACAGCGTCTACTGTGGCTGAGAAGGCCAATTCAAGAGTGACAATCCCTTCCACACTGAAGATAGATACAATCTGTCCCCTATCCAGCTCCCTGATTTTGCTGGTTTCAGGACTGCCTCTTTGCCTCGGCCTGCTGGACAAGGGTCTCTTCAAATTGGGAGAGGCCATGATGCACCGCCTGCCTCCAGGCTGAACACACTCAGATGTCAAGGTTTCCCATCTGTTGAGATCCATTCCTAAGGCCTTCAGGTCCCGCTTGCAGATATCCTTGTATCGCTGCTGTGGTCTCCCTCTGGGCTGCTCTCCTTGCACTAATTCTCCATACAGGAGATCTTTTGGAATCCAACCATCAGCAATTCTCATGACATGCCAGAGCTAATGTAGATGTCACTGTTTCAGTAATGTATTCATGCAAAAAATTCCAGCTCGTTCTAGGACTACTCTGTTTGGAACTTTGTCCTGGCAGGTGATGCCAAAAATGTGCTGGAGACAATACATATGGAACATGTTCAGCTTCCTCTCCTGCCATGCACAAAGGGTCCAGGATTCACTGCAGTACAGGAGTGTGCTCAGGGCACAAGCTCTATAGACCTGGATCTTGGTATATGCCGCCAGCTTCTTATTAAGCCATACTCTCTTTGTGAATTTAGAGAACATGGTAGCTGCTTTGCCAATGCATTTATCCGCATAGACAAAGCTATGGTTTTCCAGTAGCAATGTATGGAAGTGAGACCATAAAAAAGGCTGACCACCTTGTTGTTTGTTGTTTAATTGTTAAGTCATGTCCAACTCTTCGTGACCCCATGGACCAGAGCACACCAGGCCCTCCTGTCTTCCACTGCCTCCCGGAGTTTGGTCAAATTCATGTTGGTAGCTTCAATGACGTGGTCCAATCATTTCATCCTACGTCATCCTGTTCTCCTTTTGCCTTCACATTTTCACATCAGGGTCTTTTCCAGGGAATCTTCTCTTCTCATAAGATGGCCAAAGTGTTGGAGCCTCAGTTTCAGGATCTGTCCTTCCAGTGATCACTCAGGGTTGATTTCCTTCAATATGGATAGGTTTGTTCTCTTTGCAGTCCAGGGGACTCTCAGGAGTCTCCTCCAGCACAACAATTCAAAAGCATCAATTCTTTGGCGGTCCAGCTCTCACTTCTATACATCGCTACTGGAAAAGCCAGAGCTTTGAC